TGGGCTCCAAGCTCCACGCGGGCCTTTCTTCTTGTCAGTAGTAGTCTGGGGTCCTGGCTTCTGAAGCCAGAGCCCCAAAAGGCCAGAAAAAGAAGCACTATCCAGGCACAGGGGCCGCCTCCGCCCTCTCCCTGGAGCTTGGGGAAGGGGACGCGGCTCCAGCAAGCCCTCCCCACCAGGCCTGCGCCAGGCCGGCTGTTGCGAAACGTCTCGGAGGCAGAGAGGAGTGCGGAGGGGAACAGAAGACCCGGGCGATTCGAGTCCTTCGGCAGGGATTGAACGATTCAAGGACACCAGGAAAGAGAAAGCCTGGAAACTGAGCTCTCGACTGTGCTGGGACTCCTGACGTTGCCTGGACTAAATTCCTTCTTCCTTATAGCCCCAGCCTGACCACTTCTTCTCTCCTCAAGCCTGGCAGGTGAGGGGCACACATCACTCCTAACCATTTCTCAACTCCAGCCTTCTCCTCCCAAGCCCAGCCAGAAAAACCTGAGTGGGCCCAAGGGAGAGGTGGTGAAGGGCTCTCCCCCAAGGGGAAAAATCTGAGTTTTCCAGACTCTCCAGATCCCCACCAGCGCCCCCTCCAGCACCTGGGCAAGCAGGGAGGGGGCTTCTCCTGGCAGAGGTGGAGATAAGTAGGGGAGAAGCAACCAAGAAAGAATAAAACTTGAGACTAGAAGGAATGGAAAGGGCTACAGAGGACCTGGCCAAAGGCTGCCATGATTGCCCAGGCACCCGTCCTGCCCAACCACCAGCTGGGTCCTCTCCATGCTCCCCAAAAGCTTAGAAATTACTCACTAATGAGTCTTCTGGATTCAGGTTCCTGGAAAGCCTGGCTTAAGGACCTTTTTCCTAAAGAGTGCCAACCGGCCTTCTGCCTTGTTCATGTAGTTTTTGTACAGGCCTGAATCTTGCCTCTCCATGGCCTCAGGTAATATCTATTTTCAATCTAAAGTAGCTGGCATCTGTAGAACATGAGGATCATACACGAGGATGCAGAGTAGTCTTCCATCCCATTTTATCTGGTTCTACAAATCTACACACACATGCACATGCATATACACATGCATACACACACACACACGAAAATTGCCTATTGCCATTCTGGGGCTCCTGGCATGGTGAAGTATAAACAAGTCTTCCTGGCGCCCCACCTCTAGGTGCATCCCAGAGTCCCCAGTACTCAGCCTCCTGATCTCCTTGTCTAGCTGTGCCCACCCAGAAACCCTCCTCTTGGGCATCCTATCTGCCTCTTCAGAGGTTAAATCCACTTTCCTATGCTGATAGATGCCTCCACAGCAGTGTCCCCACCTTGGGCCTTCTGAAGCAAGGGATCTCAACCTTTGGTTTAAGGAACCTGAGATAACCTCCCTCAGTTCTCCAACCTGGGCAGTAGTTTCCTCTTTACTCAGACTTTTGAAGTTTAGCAGACCCAGGAGTTAGGGAGGACAGGCCATACTTTTTTTTAAAAAAAAAGTATCTCTGTACATCCTAAACTAGATCTCATCTTTTCTCCAATTTAAGTAGAATTTAAAAGGGACTGCTCAGGAAATCTTTGCAGGCACAGACAGGGCAACAACCACCTTCTCCGCGCGATAGAAAATCCAGTCAACAGAAGGTGAACCGGCGCGTCATGATGCAATTCCTTCAAGTAGACACCAGGTGTCGCTGTGGACTCGTTGTCCCGCCTACCCCCCAATTCCAAGAACCATTTTTTTTTTCTCCCCCTTCCCTCTCTTTCTCTGTCTCTCACTCCCTCTCCCCCTTGGTTGGGCTTTGCCAACATATCAAGATGCGTTTCTCCGGCTTCCATCACTAACCTCCCGGAGGTCATCAAGCCAAATTTATGAGTGGCCGCTCTAGTCACGTGACTCTATTTAAGGCTCCCTTATTTGGGAAGAGCGCATAGGATAAAGAAAGAGATATCTCCACCTATAAATTGTGCACTTTGGAGAACAAAAAACCCCTCAACTTCAAAGAGTCACAAATCACCCTTAATCAAAAAGGGTGCAGAAATTTTTTTTGGGCCCTCCCCGCCATGAGCTCCTACGTAACCAATTCATTCTATAAGCAGAGCCCCAATATCCCTGCCTATAACATGCAAACTTGTGGGAACTATGGATCGGCCTCAGAGGTGCAGGCATCCAGGTACTGCTACGGTGGATTGGATTTAAGCATCACTTTCCCACCGCCTGCGCCTTCCAACTCTCTCCACGGGGTAGACATGGCTGCCAACCCCCGGGCTCACCCCGACCGCCCCGCCTGCAGCGCTGCGGCCGCTCCGGGACACGCTCTGGGCAGAGACGAAGCGGCTCCTCTGAACCCCGGGATGTACAGTCAGAAGGCGGCTCGCCCGGCGCTGGAGGAGCGAGCTAAGAGCAGAGGGGAGATCAAAGAGGAGCAGGCGCAGACAGGGCAACCCGCCGGACTGAGCCAGCCACCAGCCCCGCCACAGATTTACCCGTGGATGACCAAACTGCACATGAGCCACGGTAAACTTTAGGACTTCATTTTGCGCGCTCGGGTCCGCCTGGGTTTTATAGGCCATGCGGGGCAAATAAAGAAAAAAAACCTGCGGCCATAAATTTTACGATCCAGGCATCAATGGCTCGTAAAACTGTCCACTAAAAGGCTTAGAGGCTGTGTGCGCCCAAATTTACGACGACATAATTGGATCATAGGAACAAAACGTGTATAAAAGGCAATATTCAATTTTTGGGGGAGAGGGAGGGAGTTAAAAAAATAGAGGGATCTGAAGGGTGAGGAGCGCGGGGCTCCAGAGCGGGGATCCCCCCGCGGCTCCCTCCTCCCTCCCCTGCGGAGCCGGCTCGGCCGGCGTTGGTGGCTCCGGAGGATTCCAGCGACTCGGGAGGGGCGGGAGGGGGGTCCCCGGTGCTCGGATCTCGAGAGTGCTTATTGTTCGGTCCGAGCCTGGGTCTCCCTCTTCCTCCCACCCCCCCTCAGCCCTCCGGCTGCGGAGTGAAGGCCGCGGTGCAAAGTTTCCTGCCTGGGCGGATGCGCCTTTCCTGGGGCTCGGCTGGGCCGGGCCCGCCGGGCCTGTCTTGCGGCTCTGCCTCTCCCTCCGGCCGCGGGTGGGGGCCTGGGACTGGGATGGGCGATGGGGTACTGCACGCTGTTCACCCCTTCCTGGCTTGGGGGGATTTCTATTCCAGAGACGGACGGCAAGCGGTCCCGAACCAGTTACACGCGCTACCAGACTCTGGAACTGGAGAAAGAATTCCACTTTAACCGCTACCTCACTCGCCGCAGGCGCATAGAGATCGCCAACAACTTGTGTCTCAACGAGAGACAGATCAAGATTTGGTTCCAGAACCGCAGGATGAAGTGGAAGAAAGATTCCAAAATGAAAAGCAAAGAGGCTCTTTAGAGGCAGCCGGAAGCCCGTGGAGAGCACCCCAACCGGCTTGGGTCCCTGCGCCCTTCGTTTTCGGTTTTTCTCTCTATTTTGGGGTGGGGGAGGCAGGAGTTGGAGCTTTCGCTCCCCAGGCCTCACAGACAAAAGCGCTTTTCCTTGGGATTCTGCATCTCCACTGCCCCTGCTCTGCCTGTCTGCCCTCAGCCCAGCAAAGTTCAGCTTAGCTCAGCTGGGCACCTGGGGCCCAGGGGTACCTTTGCACGGTCTTCCCAGAGGGCTTCGGAGCATTACGGGCTGGTAGTGAACCAACCTCAGCCTTGCCCACCTTTCCCGTCCCCAAGTCCCTGTGAGGCCCACCTGAATTAAGGTGGGCCCGGCCCAGTGTAGGCCCTCACCCAACCTCTAGGCTTTCCCTCTCTTTTGTTTCTGGCTAGTGAGCCCGGGACCCCAGGCTGGAGAGTACTTGTGCTTAGCAGAGTCCATTGCCAAACTGGGGTGCTTCCTCATGGTGACTAACCTTGGTCTTCTCTTATTAATGATTTGCATTTGAAAGGGGAGAAGAATGACCGTGGGCCTAGGGCCCTAGTGGTTGCCCTATCCTCTCCACATCTTCTTCCCCTTCCCCTAAGTCGGGGAACCTCCCCAGCCCTCGCCTGCTGCATGCCCTCTCAGGCCGCAGCCCCAGCTTGCTAGCTTAACCTTTGGGGCTTTCTGCCATTTGGAGCCCAGCAAGTGGTCCTAGAGGCTCCTTGCTGTCCCATAGTTCCGGCCATGACTTTCTTGCCCTGCTATTCCATTGCTGTTGCCCAACTATTTATTAACACCCGGGTCCTTCCTGAAACTATATTTTGTCATATCAAATAAAGACAAAGAGAGAACAGAATTAAAGATGCAGCGGCTCCTGTCTGTTTAGGGCATGTTTGAATAAAAATATCTAAATGTGTTGTGAGATATAGTACAAGCCCCACAATCTTTAAGCCTCTCCTTTAAAAGAAATGTTTTTAGGTGTTTCAGGGGCAGCAAGAGAAGGGAGGTAAAACTGAGCTCCTTTTCTGACTCTTAGTTCCATAAAGAGACTGGGAAAAGAAGGAGGCACCGGCCTCTTGTATTGGCTTTTCTCTGTCTATACCGTGGCTATCCAAGGCATCTGAAGTTTCTAGATTGGCAGTAGCTTGTATTCCATGCCAGACCTAACCTAATGTGTAAGGACCAGTGGCTCCGCCGTGCATGCTGCATGCTCAGATTCAGGCCCTTTGGGCCTCTGAAAAATCTCTCAGGGTGCTAGGTGGTCCTTCAAGCGGCTTTCCAAGGCACAGTGGGAAGGTTGAGCCCTCAATGTAAGGACCCATTTGGTCCCATTTGGATTCCCTAGAAAAGTTGGCACTGCTTGGTAGAGAGGTATAATGCTTGGGAGTTGGCAAGGTATACTTCAGCTTTCTTAGATATCAGGGGAGAGGGGAGCAGGGACAGCAATCTGTAGGTGCACTTGCCTGGCCGGAAATGTTCAGAGAGTTAACCAGGACGAGAACTGCACAGACCAGGGCCAGAGTCACATCCACTGGCCATCATTTATCTCAGTCTCAGATTTTGTTTGGAGGGGGAAGGTGACCTACAGGGCCCCCAAAAAGGCAGCTAATTCAGGTGGCACCTAAAGCAGGCCTAGGCCCACTCTGCTCTGCTGAGCTCCAGGCTCCTGGGATGGGCTGAGGGAGGAAGCACTTTGCAGGAGAAACAAATGTGGGAAGGGTCCATAAAACTTTACTGCATTTCCTCTCCTGCCTCCCACAATGGGGTGATTTCCTGGAGCCTGGCCTAGGCCCCCCACACTCTTGGGGTGGGGGTCTGGAGCTGGGCTAGGAGCTGCTCCAGAAGCCAAAGAAAAAGGGAGCCAAGTAGTTCTGGGGAGGAGTAGAGAGAGTATTTATGATTATTAATGCTGATGTTCCCTGGATGCATTGCAAGGACTGACTTCGTCCTTACCCTGCTGTTTGAGCTACCCATCTGCCCGTCATTGTTTTAGAAGACCTGAGAGCCTTTCCTTGCCTTTTCCATAGCACATAGAAGATCTCTGCAGATGTTTATTGAGCTGTACACAAGACTACGACCCTTACCCTTCTCACTGGACTCTGGCCAGGTTAGGGCACAGGTAATGTCTCTCTTCAACTTTCACAGAGCCAGTCAGTCCAACCCACCAGCACCAACTTTCAATCTCTCTCCCACTCCCTCTCTGAAATAAAATGTGTAATTTTCTTCAGGGAGTTATTTTAATTTTTTCTCCATGCTGAGTAAAACTATTGGGCAAGCAGTGAAGCATGAAGAAGCACTAGTTTCTCCAATGGGTAACAGTTAAATAAGAAAGGGACTGTGTCACTGCACTCATTTGCTCCAGCCTCCCTAGTCTGCTTCTTCCCCAGGGGACAGACTCAGGAGGAGAAGTAAGGACTTGTGCCCAGGCGGGGAGCCTTGTGGATCTGACCTGCCAGGCCAGCCAAGTGCAACAGCCCTGCCCAGAGAGCACTGACTGCTCCTCCCAGCAGGATTTGGGCCTCTCCTTCTGCGGAGTTACTGCAGAACTGACTCAGCTGGGCCAGGCCTGGGAAAGCACGGCTGAGCCGTCCTACTCTCTTCCCTCCTGCCACGGTCTGCAGACCTGCACCTGGGCTCAGCTTCCGCTGAAGCGGAGCCTGCATCGGCACCCAAGCCAGAGGCCTCAGAAATACTCCCCTGCGTTGGGAGTGGGTGAGGCCCAGACCCTTGTTCTCTCCCTGAACAGAAGCGTCTGCTTAGCATCTAGGGGTAGTTGTCCCGCGCTGCTGGCCAGGCTCCTGGCACATTTTGCAAGAGCCAGGGTTTGGCATTGCCCTGGGGCAGTAAGTGCAGGGGCTTTCGGGTCCCAAAGGAGACCGTGGAGCTTGCCTGTCCACTTTGCCCTGGAACCCACCCACTCTGGCAGCAAGAAAGAAGGGGATGAAGCGTGACTTACCTTCCCCGGGGAGTGGGAAGAGGGGACACGGCCCACTCTGAGCAATTAGAGGAGAGAGGAGGAAAAAATAGGAGGAAAAAAAATCAACACGACCTCGAAGGCGACAGGTCCTTATGGAAATAAGTAAGTAAATAAGTACAGATCCATTCTCTCCTTCCTCCCCACCCTGTAAGGGGGTGTGGGGGTGGGGCAAAGGAGCAGCACCAGGGCTTTTTGGTGTAACTGAGCATTAGAGAAATAGGCACAGCTTCTATGTGAATTTAGGAGTTTGAAACTTTTGGAGGTTATTTATGTGAATGGCCTGGAGGCAAGCCCGTGAGTGGCTCTTGGGGGACCACGTGATGTCATTAAACCAAGTTTTATGGTGTAGGGAGAGCTGACAAACCCACAATATATTTACATCATATATAATCTTAACTGTCCAGCCACGCAGCTGCTGGTGAGGTTTAATGCTAGGACAGAGGGCCTGGCAGTTAGAGGGGATTACGGCGCTGGGGATGATGGTGAGAGAGGTTACATCTTCGAAAATGAATCCCAGGCGAACGCTGTAAGTTAATTCTCTCCCCTTCTGAGACCTTTCCTTCCATTTACCTAACTCCCTCCCCACCCCTTGAAAGCAGGTAAATCCCACTCATTAAGGGGAAAGAGGAAAGGCCACTCCAGGCCTCCCCAGGCTGGGTGGGAGAAGAGAGGAAGCTGCTGGGAAGTAGCAAGATGGGAAAACCGACTCCTCAGAGGAGGCCTTCCCTTTCTGCTCCTTATTCCCTGGGCTGCATGAGGAAGCCTTGGCTCTTTGGAGCTCTGCAAGATCTCCTCTTGATGGAGAAGAAAGCCTGAGGCAGGGACATACGTGTTGTTTGGTATTCCTAGGAATGTGTAAACTCTAGACCAGTGCAAAGTACCTCTCGGGTCCCCTGTTCCAGGGAGGGGAACAACTGAGCCAGCTGGCCGATGGCCCAGAGTCCAGGCAAGGGAGGAAACTAAAGAGAAAGGCAAGGAAGGAGGGCTCTGGATCTACAGTCTGGGCCTGGCTCCAAAGTATCTCCTCTCCCCTTCACCAATAGGCCAGGGTGGTGGGTAGCTTCCCAGTCTCCAAACTCTGAGATCTTACTGGGGGGGTGTGCAGTGTGGTTTTTGCTTCTCCCTCCCTCCAGCTGCAGGGTCTTCTTTGCCTCAAGTAACAGTAGGCCCTGGGGGGCCTACAGGGCTCTTTCTGTGAGGGTAGTGCTGTGAGTATTGGACATGGAGGGAGGGAGTAAGGGTAATGTGTGTTTGTTAGGTTGGAAAAGCTCCCAAAGCAGAGGATAAGAGTAGCCTCTGGGGATGGAGCTAGCAGGGTCCAGTGTGGGCATGGGGAGGGGAGGCAGTGCTCCGGCGGGGGTCCCTTTGGGTTTCTAGGTAGGAGCAGGAGAGGCATTGGGAATGCACACCATGAATGCACACTAGCTCCCTTTGTATGTCACCTTCATAAGGTGAATCCTGGCCCAGCGAACTGGGTGGGATTCAGCAGGGCTGGAAGGAGAAGAGAGCAGAGGGGATGATCTTTCTGAAGAGGAGGCGTCCTTGGAATGAGAGAGTCTTGGTGTCTAGAGGTCATGCTACTAGCACCACCCAGGCCTCCCAAACCCAAGGGCCAAAGAGGAAGAAAGAATCAGAGAGATCAGACCCACTAAGGATGGACAGAGGACCAAAGAAAGACAGAAGTAGCCTAAGCCAAGCTCTCCTGTAAGGAATATGGGTACCCCCTAATGCCTGATCTCAGGCGCTCACCCTCCTCCCAGACACCTCATTTCCCTCAGCAGCATGAGGATCTTGGATGATTTGTTCCAACAGCCCACTTAAAAACTTAACTCTTGGGTTCTCCCCTCCCCTTTACCTGCCCTCTTCAGCTCTTTTTCTCTCACCAGTCTGTGATCTTAAAGATGTCTAGAAACTTTCTTATCAATCCAGGCATCAAGGAGATGGGAGCTTCCTTTGGTCTATAATTTGACTCTTCCCTTCTCTCCAGCCTCCCCAGGGTCCTGGCAGAGACTAGTAGTCTTTAACCAGGGATTTAGCCAGAGCCAAAGCCCCAGGCCTTAGCAAGACTCCATCGCTCTCCCCGACCCCAGCTAAACTTCAGTCCCATTTTCTTTTGCTCTGTGTGGAGGCTGTGTGTTTTACAAATTCATACACTGTCTCTTGAGGCAGTCAATGAATTTCTGACCCCTTTTTCTGCTCTTTAAAAGTGCCTTTTAAATTCCATCTTCTCTCTTCTCTTCCTGTAACAGTAGGGTTTCCTTTCTCTTAAATAATTTGCCTTGCAGTCAGGTCAGTTTTTTTTTTTTTTTTTTTTACTGTTTTCCAGGTTTCACCTGGGGACAGGAAAACACAAAAAGGGCTTGAGATTCTTGATCGCCACTACAAGCTAAGCATAGAAGAGGGGGTTGGGAAGGCAATCAGGTGCCAACTGCATTCTAGCCAACCCAGAAATCTTAATCTTGCGCCTAGGGCTTTAATTTAGAAGGGGTCAAACAACCAATCAGGAATGCTCGCTATACAAAGTCACATGACCCCCATCAACCAATAGGTAAACAGTGTTTGGGTCTCTGTGTCTCTTTTTCTCCCTCCATTCTTCTTTCTACACCCTTACCTCCTGGGTCTGCCCTAGCTCAGGTTCAGAGAGAGGAGTGATACTGAACATGTTCTAGCCCTCTCCCTGTGCCCCTGAACCAGCTTTGAGTCATCTTTGGCTTATGGCCTTGTTTTCTAACAAAGTTGCACATCAAGGCCAATCTCAATTGTACAAGGATCTGAAGTATCATCATCTAGTCTAGTGTCTTCTCATGTTTGCCTCTGTGATCCTGTCCAGTTCTCTATGCTTTTGAGTATAGTGCAAATTAGGCTAC